CAAATATATATATGTATATATGTATATATATATATATATATATATATATATATATCAATTAGGACAATATACATAGGATACAAAATACGTTACATTAAATTTTATACACAATACGCACACCTAATAAAATGCTTAGTAAAAGAACCGTTATAATAATTATTGAAGGCGTACAAACAACGCACGTGTGAATGCTTGTAGACTTTCACGCCGGGTATCAGTTAAAATACTGTAAGGGATATGGATTTGTTCACACATAGAGGATATCACAAGGTATCAAAAGACATGTCTTCACAGCCCAGCAACTTTTAGCATGACCTTAACTACATACCAGTAGTTAAGCACACGGTATGAACAATGGCCATAACAAAACTGAATCAATTAGTAAATGGAATCGAACGAATTTAGGTTACAGAGAGTAAACATGCATACAAAGCTTGAGGCTAGATTATACTATATTCACAATGATGCCATCTAAGAATAATTCAGTGACTTAATATCAACAAATTCAACAACCCGGACCCATATTAGGCCTAGCTAGGGTAGCATGGTCGAACAATGCCAGCGCACATACTTCAAAACATTCAATGTGCTACGCCACATTCGCACCAATTAACGATAATCGCCAAGGTATATTTTGCTGTTCAAATCTTCACAACATTCCTCCCTGGGTGGCTGGTAGTTCGTTTTTTTTCTATTGATTGTGGGTAAAGGAAATTGTATTGATAGAAAGACGAATTCGTGGGTGCAGAGAGAATCGAAGGTTGAGGTTACTAAAATGTGTGCCAGGAAAAGACTGAGTATTCAGTTCCTTAACAAGCTCACGACCCGGCTGTGGTCAATAGCCTGAGAGGAACTCTTGAACAATAACTATGACGATCGTATGCTTCTATCATATGGTTTAGTTATTGCATATTGACCAAGGACACTTAGACACCAAGATTTTGATCAACCATCCATATGTTTTCAGCAAAACCACAACGCCTGTCTAAGTTTCACGATGTAGGCCTATGTAGGTACCCTAAGCCACCTCTCTGCCTAAAACCAAAACACGTCGCAACCCAGGCCAAGTTCTAAGCACAATTTTGTAAGCAAACTTAGGCCTGTGTGAGAAAACTGAATTCCTGTTTTAATCATTAACAATACTTATATTGTGCATATGAACGTATCCTGGCCTAGATGTGTTCACGGTTCATGTAGGCTAAAAAAAAATCTGTCTTTTATATTGTAGTTTTTGGCTGAGCTGGTATACTGTAGATATTGTTAACCGCGTCCTTCGTTGTGAAGTACCTTTGTATGTTACTACGTTTTAGGTGAATTGGGCCTCCGTTCTGCGTTCTGTAACACATTATTAGCACGGTCTAGTGTTCCTGTTTCACTAACAATTAAACTTCCTAACTTTTATTGATATAACAATATTAGCCTACAGAACTAGGACAGGTTTAGGGATTAATATCACGTGAAATCACAGGAACCGGCTTAACAGCTCAGACATACTTGGTCTACAGGTACGCTGCATTAGGCAACATCCCAAATTGAACCATTTTTTTCCAATTATCTTTAGTTAACGAATTTTCATAAAAAATTAACACAATTTTTTTTTAAGCTAGCGGTAATATCCAGATGTAATTATTATCATTGTATAATTTAATGTATATAACAGATAAATCTGAACAAGGTTACAAGCTATACCTAACGAATTACTATATTTAAAAAATTAATGTCGTGAAACATTTCAGTGAAATTTTAAAAATATAATTGTGAAATTATTTTAAAGATCAAGAAATTGGAATAAAAATATGCATTAAATAGGGGAAGTCCCTTCAAACGGAACATCATAGTTTGATGAAGCAGCCTGGCTTTAGGTCTTAAGTCACTGAGCTTTGCATTTATGAGGAATGTTGCGTACTGCAGCCGATCATGTTTGCTCATTCAACCAGAATCATTCGTTATAATCCTCAATTAATCTCTACGCGTATTATGTATAGTTTCTAATCCTAACCGGATTCCTAAATTGATCATGTCACCATTACAAGGGATGCAGCTTAAATTATGTTACCTAATTAGCCCCTAGTTATGTAGATCAACGCCAATCCTAGAGATCAAGAGAGATTTGTTATGTCTTACAAACAATGATAACGCATCTTACGTGATGACAGCGGAGTGGTTGTTCCTATGTTGGTCGTCTGTGGTTCAGGGCTCGCTTGACATTGTGTGACTGGGGGTTGACTGTGGAGGGTAGTCATGTCTGCAAGTCTGGAATGATTTCTGGATCCTTCTGAATTCACTAGTTCCTCAAGCATCGGAAGCGAATCGTTCAAAGTGTCCATACTCGTATTAATCAACGTAATAAAGAGTTCGGTCCCTGGTCGCTCGAGCCAGGTTAATAAAACGCAGAGTCTTCTACCTTATCTAATCTGAACTCAAAAGATCAGCGGCAAATACTGGTGGAATTATTGGAGTCCACACTACAAAAGACAGATCACACTAACTCCTCCAGAAAGCTAGAGCCTATGGAATGATTCAATAAAATCGCTAGGGTTAGTAATAGTCGACTGTGGCAGACGATGCTGGCAATATATAGCGCATGAACCTGAGTGGTAAGCGCATACAACTCTGTGTATACAGAAGACATTATCTTCCTATTAGATACGGCACATAAGTGGGCGGGGCTTAAGCGGATCACTCAACCGTAAGATACTAAACAATTGGACAACCATACACCAATGAAGATAACGGATCGTAAGCATACAGCGCTGCTTGAGCAGTGTAGAGATTTATCCTTCATTTTGATTGGCAGCTGAAAGCTTCAATCGGGACGGTTTGCTATACATGTTAGAAGAATGATCGCATCTACATGCCAGAAAGTTTAGCAAGGATTTACACTTCTCATTCATTATTATCAACATTTTTCTAAATAAAAATGACTTCACAAGAAACTGTTTGAATATTTTGTTTTAATAATTGATATGAATATACTGTGTTTTCCCAAATAAATAATACTTAGGCCCGTCTCATTTGTCTTCTAATTACCATGAACAGACGCATGGTAATGATTTACTACTGACAATAATCAGTAAAAAAAGTTTATACAATTTCAAAACAAATAAACAGATTCAAATAATATAGGCTGCACTCAAATCCATAACCTACACTAGTGCTTGCATTTTATTGGATACAGCATGTTGTATGGTGTATACAAATAGTCAAAACTGTTACAAGATGAATTGCCCATCTCTCTTGAACGTTTGGGCCAGACTACGATTGGACCTACATATTCGTTCAGTTTGATTACCATTATTTTCGCTTTAGGAAGTAGCTGATTTGATGAAATCATTTTACGCTGTGTCTAGTATAAACATTGACATCTTTTGGTAAGAAAATCTGTGGTAAAAAAATAAAACTACATATCTTTAATTTTACAACTAATATTTTACAAAATATCCATAATTACTAAGAAAAAAAACACATATTGTTTGTAATAATTTATAGATAGGCCTTATGTAAATGTTTAATGCTTTTATACAAACATGATTGCAATAGTATACAAACTTGATTATATTTGTACCAAAATGGTAGCATAATAACGCTGCAAACGTCTCTGCAACGTTACATTAACAATATTTCCTGACATAAACTTAACCACAACATACACAACCATAGACGTACAGTATTTATAACGTAACTAATTTCTGACTAAATAACTTTGTAAACGTTGCTCTTTCGGAAGTTGCATTAACAATATTTTCTTACATAGAGCCTAATGACAACGTAAACCTACTCAACGTACAGAAATATTATAAGATGTGTTTTCTGGGTTCAAATCATTTAAAGTGCATCATAACACATCCTACACATTAAAATCCCAAATGGAGCCGCATCGCAGACACTGTAATTGATATACACTCATCCCACAAAGTGCCTGTTTTGCAACAATCGCCAATCAATAGCCCTTAAACAATGCTTTACCGGATTACTTCAAGAGGATATCTGCTCATTATCATCAACCTATGCAGTATTAACTAAACGAGAAGTACATTAGATCAAACAAACAAAAGAGGTTTGAAAACGGCAGAACATTTCTTAACACATACCTATTACCTCTCTTCTCTTTATACAGTAAATCTGAGAGATATTGGGAAGAACGTATTATTATGGGCCTACGGTACTTAACCATAATTATCGACGTGGGTTGACTTGTACGTCGTCGTCGTCCAGTAGTCCTACACACCTTCACAGTACTTCGACATAAAGGTTAGTTTTTATTTGATAAGTATTCTGATATATTTGGGTTTCCTAAATCTATAGGCTTATCTGAAAAAAAAAATGTCAACATATACTTATAGTCCACAGACACTTAACTCATTTTCTGCAGGCTGTAGGAGGTACAGTTTTATTGTAAACCACAGAGGCTTGTAATAATGTAAGTGCATAAGGCATTGTATATATAAGGTATATATCTGTCTCTTATACACATCTAGATGTGTATAAGAGACAGGTGTAGAGATTTATCCTTCATTTTGATTGGCAGCTGAAAGCTTCAATCGGGACGGTTTGCTATACATGTTAGAAGAATGATCGCATCTACATGCCAGAAAGTTTAGCAAGGATTTACACTTCTCATTCATTATTATCAACATTTTTCTAAATAAAAATGACTTCACAAGAAACTGTTTGAATATTTTGTTTTAATAATTGATATGAATATAC